CTCTTAAGTTTATCTACGACTATGATAATGAATGAAGCATGTGGTTATGTTTTTTTTTTTTCTTTTATTATTGTTATTATTATTATTAAACTGCTGGAACCACGTGATAGTTTGCTCAGCTCACATCTCTTCTTTTAGTAGCATACAAATTTTGGTTCAAACTGAAAATTTGAATTGGGAACAATTTGTTCGATTTAGATCGGATCAGACTTTAGTTATTTTTACTCCGTTCTCTAATTTATAGTTTGAGAATTAAAAAAAAAAAAAAAATCTGATTTAAAATTTATTAGGTTTTGATTCAATTCTGGTCGAAAATATTCTTACCTCTCGTATTATTTATTAACACTCTAAACAACATACAAGAAAGCAATAATAATATCCACTAATTCAACATGTGCTAGAGAATTCATCCCGACTTATTTTAAATTCAATTTCTACGGATAACCTTCAAGACCAACATATATCATTGTCGCATAGGTATCATAGTCAAGCTTTGAATTCGATTTTCCTCCACAATCTATAATATTTGTCATGTTGCGTGCTTTGGACGTTCTCATGAGTTCACATATAACCCTACCCATTGCCATTGGTAAATCTATAAGTTTCTAGACCTCCACCATATTTCCTACAGAGACAAACAAAAATCACCCTCACCCTCTCCTTAAATTCATTCCAAAGTCAAACGAAAGTTTTGTTACCTCTTAAGAAAATTTATTTGTCATAACCTTTTTATAAATTATATTTTTTTAAAAATATATACTCAATATATATATATGTATCAAAGAATTATTTAAAAAAAAAAAAAAAAACTAACTCAGAAAATAATAGAAGAATTTTAAAAATAAAAAATAAAAAAAGGACTTGAGAGAAAAGATTGTCGGTTTGGTCCATAATTTGGAGGCACTATTCTGCCAAGCAGACCACAAAACACCCGGTGCCATGATTTCTTATAATGGTGGATCATATTTTGCAGGAGACAGAGATGGGATGTGACCTACTTCTTGTTTTTTATATACGACATTCTTCAGCCATGGGATCTTAATTTAACCCATCTGCCTTGGGATATATACATACATACATACATAATGTCCCTTTTTTATATATATAAAATAAATGAATGAATGAACACCCCCCCACCCCCACCCATTTGGTCAACCACATAATCTAATTGTTTTCTTTCTTTTTTTTTTTATATTATTTAATCCTTGATATAAAAACCCTGTAATCTTCCAATTACTACAAATCAATAATGGTAATTGCTTTAGAACCAATAACATTATTGTAGATAAATAAATCATATTATTCAAAAGTACTTTTTTTTTTTTTAAATCCAAAAACTAATTTTATAACTATACTTTAAGTTTAATTTTTTTAAATAGTTTTCGTAAATTATTTAGAGAAAAACACAAACTTTTTTTTTTTTAATATTTCTAGAAAACTACTAAGTCAGTGAACTATAATTTTTATATTTAATGATGTTAAAATTATAATTTTTATGAATAAAATTAATAATTTAATATAAAATTATAGTGTATAATAGACTGCTATTAATTAATTTATAATACTAAAGATTGAACTGATTATTTTGTTAATATTATTTATTTTTAATTAAAGTAATCACAACAGATTAAATACTCGATCTGATTTTCTATTTGTTAAAACAAAAATACATATAAACTAAAAATTAAGTATACATCTCCTTCAATTGAATTATGTATTAGTGATTATCTTTTTCTTGAACTCTATATTACCTAATGTATTAGACTATTATTACTCATTTGGGAAAAACAAAATGACAAGTGTTTGGTTTATCTGTTACTTTCAAGTGTATTAAAAGGCATTAAGTCAACTTGGCATTGTCACTATACACTCTAAATCTTATTAAAGTACCAATAGTTTAATAATGAAAGTTAATACACACATATATATATACACACACACATATAGACTCACCTCTCATGAGCTTGTCCACTTCTCAAAAAATGGAGGAAAAAAAAATTGTACTTTTCTAATATATATATATATATATATATATTTTCACTTTACTTACAAGAAAAGAAAAATATTTATTTAAGATAATGATTCAAGTTTTTGTTCTTACTTAATACAAAATTAACATATATTATATTGTATTAAAAAATTAATTAAATTAATGTACCATTTAACTTCAAAACAAAGATTTCATAAGATTAGGTTGTGTACTTAATTAAGGAATGGAGCAAAAGAAAAAATTATATATATATATATATATTTTTTTGCAATGTAAATTAATTATATATACATTTGAACATACACAAAATTAGGTTGATGAAATTTTAGAATATATAAATCTATTTCTCTATTTTTATAAATACATGTGTTAATTCACTCTAATAAATATATAAAGTCAAAATTTTAAACAAGTTAGATAACAATTTAATTAGTTATTATGTGACATATACATAATCAATTAATTCAATAAAAATACATAAATTATACTATATATATGAATAGTTAAAGAATAAAATCTAAAATAAAAACACAATGGGAATAAATTTTTTTTTGGAGAAAACTAAGATGTTGAGATCAAATGATATCATTTGAAAATTTATAGACTAAGTCATAATTGTGCAACTTTATAAAGATTAAAAAATAATTTATTTTTAAAATATTTGAAGAAATGTTTTTCTCAATGCAATAAAATGTTAAAATATAAACTAGGAGGATGTAAATTATATGTATGTATATATTTGGATAGCCTTTTAAAAGTTAAAAAATATAAACACAAAAATCTTTATATAACTTCTCTAATTAAAATTGGAGTCGATTAAAGTTGATTTAGCAAACTATTATTATGTGTTTGGAACTTTATCTTAATCTCGATTTTTATAATTTAATATATGACAACTTATAAAATTATTTAGAATATAAGTTTTTTTATTGTTCTATAATATTCTGTATTGTTTAAATAAAAAAATAATATATAAACATAATTTTTTTATTTTTGTTAATTTTAAATATAAAAATAATATAAACTAAAATAATTTTATAAATATGAAAACTAAATAAAAGTATAATAAAAAGATTTATAATCTAATTATAACATAAGATTAATGTTTATGTAATTCCTTGCGAATAAAAATGTAAAGAAAAAAAGACAAAACATTTTGTTGTCTTTTCAAATTCTCACATGCATCACCATCAACATATCAAATCCGCCATTGCCAACTCACCTTTTAATTCTCTTCTTCTCTTTCTCCCATGGCAAAATAAACTGAAGAGGAAGCAGAAGAAGAAGCAGGTAGAGAGAGATGGGGGGAGAAGAAGAGGCGACACTAGAGTACACGCCAACGTGGGTGGTGGCTGTGGTGTGTAGTGTGATTGTGGCTATTTCCTTGGCCGTCGAGCGTCTCCTTCATTGTCTTGGACATGTTTTGAAGAAGAAGCACCAGAAACCCCTTTTTGAAGCCCTTCAAAAGGTTAAAGAAGGTCAGATCATTTCCTTCGTCTCTTTTTTCCATAAATAGTTTTCTTCATATATATATATATATATATTTCCTTGTATGCATATGTGGGTGCACATATACAAGGAACTTAATCTTTTATCTAGATTCCCGGAGAAGTGGAAAAGGAGACATTTGTGAGTTATTATTCAGTTTCTTCTCACCATTAAGTGGATGTAATGATAATTCTCATGGGTAAAGTTCATGTATATATGGATTTGAGAGGAAATGAAACTACTTGAGGAAATTGAATGTTAGATGCTCGTTATGATTTTCCTTTTTTATATCATGCATTTTCTCTCAACAAACTCTTCAATCTCACCATGCATCAACTGTCTTTATGTTTATGTATAATGTTGAACAAGGTCTCCTTCTCAATTTCTCCATTGTCTTTTTAAAAGTCTCTCCTTTTCCTTTAGTTTTTTGGGATGTCAAAGAAGGGAACTTTGCGCCTCTGTAAAATTACGGAGATTTAGACAGAGGGTTTTCCGCTTTTCTTTCAGAGAGAATGCACACTTAAGAAAGAGAGAGTACTTTGAAGAATATACATACATGGGTATACATGTATGTTTTTCCCAGATGGATATTGTAAACAGAAGTGTGCTTAGGCCTATATTTGTTATAATGGGCTTTTAGTGACCAGGTGATCAATGATGTACAATTTGAAAAGTGTTCCATAGAAAGAGTTACCTTCTTTATTCAAGCCTTGATAAGCACACTGATTTTTCTAATATTAAGTGAAATATATGTACTTTTGCTTGTGCACCAAACTTTGAAGGTTTGATGTCACTTCTTCCCCTTTGTTTTCTATTTATTGCCAACTAAGAGGACTCAAATTGTGATGATTGATGTGAAGTTGGTGGTTTGTTGAACAGAACTTATGCTGTTGGGTTTTATATCGCTATTGATGACGGTATTCCAGCGTGCAATTTCAAAATTTTGTGTGCCAAAGTCATTGGTTACTAATATGCTTCCTTGCAAACTTAACCAAGAAAAAAAAGACAGCTCTGGTGCTACTACAACCTCACACTTCCAGACCTTTTTTGCTTCTTCCTTTCCTGGGCCTGTTAGGCGCTTTATGTCTGAACATTCGGCTGCACAAGAGAGTTACTGTTCCCATAAGGTAATTTCTTCTACATATCTGCAATTATGAACATGGTTCATCACTGGTTCCACATCATGCACATGATGAAAGCAGGGTTGAAAATTTTGCAATGTTTTGCTCCAATTTTTCCTGGAGACCTTGCCAGTTTGGTTGGCTATGAAAGATTTTGTTTTGGCTCTGTTCATATGAGTCATATCTTGTGGTAGTTCAATCGTTTAGTTGTCTTACTGCTACAAAGTAGGAGTTAGAAGTTTTTTCTTTGATAGTATTTCCTGAGGAAGCTGTTGCTTCCTCAAATGTTTCTAGACAATACATTCTCAAATTATTCTTGTACTTAGTTATAAATTATTCTGCCCTCCCTTCTTTGCATTCCAAGCAAAACTTAGGTCTTTAGGCCTGCCAAGTAGGTTGATTATGGAGATCCTTTAAGGAAGGAGAAGGAAAATGCTTTGCCATAACGGAACACTCTGGATAACTCAAGATCACAAGAACTTTGCCAGCTAACAAGACTTGACGCACGTGATGTGACGATCGAAAGCTATACTAGCTAGTAGATGCAAGTTGCACATCAGATAGATGAAGCTGTAAAGCATAGAGAAAGGCTTTGAAACCCTTCAACGTAGTTAAAGAGTATCATGTGATAAATCTCCTATAACTTGTTTTCTATTGTACCAAAAACCTGCAAGTTGGTCAACGGGGGGATTGACAAGACAGCCATTTGGGAATAGCCCCCTCTACTATAAGCATTCAATAGATCCACCGGGTAAGATATTGAAATCTTATCACTCTCATTGATAGTCAACTCACTTATATGATGACCTAAGTGTCAAATCACTGCCCCAGTAAATTGTTCTTAGACTTTCAAAAATGACATGTTTTATTCTCTGTTAACTGATTCTTCACATATTGCCAAATTGTTCTTCTATGAAGTTGTCGAATTGCATGATCTGCCTTCCTCCATATTATGTGTCGATATTAAATTTATAAGTTCACTCTTTAGAACTTACATTGGATTAGTTTAAAATCCATATTAGCTTTCCACTCTCAGACTGATGGTCAAACAAAAATGACCAGGCAAAAAAGCTAGGTTGATCCACTTTGGTGTTTGCTAGGGGAGAAATAAGGAAACTTGGGACTCAGCTTTATCAATTACTTAACTTCCTTAATTAACAGGTCAACTAGTAAGAGTGCTTTTGAAATTGGTTATTCCTCTCATAATCTTATTGACCTTCTGCTATTACCCTGTAATAGTAAAATTTC